GAATTGCGATGCTCACATTCCCCCCTCACTGCAGTCACAAACTCCAACCACTTGACAGGAGTGTTTATGGCCCACTGAAAAAGATGATGAACAGTGCAAGTAATTGCTGGATGAGAATGAATCCAGGAAAGACCATGACAATATATGAAATACCAGGTCTTGTCAGAACTGCACTTCCAGCAGCAGCTACACCAAAGACTATACGAGCTGAATTCCAGTGCTATGGAATTTGGCTATACAATCCAAACATACTTGAGCAAAGTGACTTTGCTCCATCACAGGTCACAGATCGTCCTTCTCCAACTCTCCATACAGACATTTCTCCAGCTGACCAACAGTCCGCTCCTCTTGCGGCTTATCTCACCAGTCCTACAGCTGATGACGTGACCATTCTTCCAGATCCTCACATCTGCAGTCTTCTAACTGAAGATATGCAAAAGCTGGACCAAGAAAAACCCTTTTAGCGGGAAGAAAAAGGAAACAAACAGCAAGACTCACTGATACACCAGTCAAGGTGGCCCTTGAAGCAGGCCACAGAAGGAGGAAAATATGTTTCCCAAAGAAGAGGCTGTGCCAGAAACAAGGCAAATCCACTCTGACAAACTTAAAACAATCCAAGCTTTTAACATCGCGAAAGAAAAATCTGAAAATGAAAAACACTGAACAGGACAACACAAATTCCTCAGACGCTGATGAGAATTTCTGTATTGTGTGCATGGAAAACTTCAATAACTCAAACCCCTGTACACTGTGGGCTCATGAGGACTGCACTGCAGGAGTGCCATACGTCTGTCACCACTGTGATTCTGATAGATTAGAAACTTGACACAAACACGCATAGTTCAGTTGATGAAGCTGGTGCACAACTACATTTTTTCAGCTTCATTGTTATGTTCAAAAGTTGGTGCAAGAGTTATAGGTTACAATGTCCACTGAGTCAACGAGGCCAAACTCAAAGAAGGCCAACCAGAATTAATGAAATATTCACTTGTTGAAAATTCCATAATTTGTCTTGTTGGAATATGTTCAAAAGCTCGATTTCTGCATTGTGTCACACGCACATAGCTACATAAATATTTATTTTCAGAGAAAATAGCAGAGACATGTAAATACTTTGCATTACATTTTGAATCCACTACCTTAAAAGAGCTCCAAGCTACAGACAGAAATGTCAAAAATGTTTACAATTTCCCCCGGTCTCCCCTACACTGACATAAGACATGGACCTTCAAAGTAAAACAGGAATCAAGAAAAAATTCACAAAGATGCAGACTTGACACTGAACTGAACCTACACTAAACACGAGGGCACAAAAGCAAACCTAAGAAATAAGCCCTTAACCAGAAAAAACTGAAACATAGATTTATTCAAAATGACCCAGATCCGTGACAATAATCTGTACACGTCTATCATCGTCATCATTTCAGAGATCATTCCTGATGATGTCACCCTAATATTGAACTTAAGCAACCGCTTATAAACTGTAAACCAATGCCATAAAAAACTTTTAATAATTAGGCTACTTAATATGTGACTGTATGTTGTCATGGCATTTTTATAATATTGTGTGGTGCATCTATTTTAACTGTGTAAAGGGGATTTATGTAGTAAAAAAAACAACAAAAAAACAATATTTAAATTAACTGTCCCTGCTTTTTTTGTCATTTGTGATTTAAAGAACACCCTTTATATCTTCTTCCACTACTTCTAAAGCAAACAATAGCACCGGCAAATGGTAGATTTATTTTATGCCTCATTAATTACACATTACATAACTAAGTAAACCTTTACAGATGATTCGTTTTTAAATACCTTCCCTACTTTTCATATTCGATTACTAAATTTTATTCGGGCCATACTGCTTCTGTGAGTCAAGCTGAAGTGAATAGTGCCTTTTTAGAGGTCATATCAGCGCTGGCTCACATAACACAAACCCTGGCTAATCATTAACAGTGGCTTTTCAAAAGAACCTTCTCTTTTCATCCACAGTTGATAATAACAACCTTGTGATCCACCAATTTCAACAAATTACTCCTCAACACTCATCTTTTCAGACACACTTACTACAAGCAAGTGTGTGTCAGTTTAGAAATCAGTGCTTTTATCTCTTTGGTTCTTACGTCATTGCTTAAACTAATATTTACTTTTAAAGCTTCTTTCCTCCTGCACTATGAAGGTTAACCAGTACCTGCACTACTGCTTCTTAGCCCATATTTCTTTTGTAACACGGATTAGTGAGTGTCTAGTCATGACTCCAGCTATCAGATTTTTGCCTCTCCCTAATACTCTAATAGCTGTGGTGTCTGCCTGCCTGTGGCCGTTCACACAGAGGGAGTAAAGCGCTCCAACAGAGCAATTCAGCGTTGTGTTAAATTGCTGCCTTCACTTTGCGTTAGATTTATCTAAATCGCAATAAGAGCGTTAACCTTTACCTTCGTTAATAACAGCAGAGATATGTGAAATTGACAATGAGGGTGTGGAGAGCTTAAAAGCCAGTCGAGCAAACTAAAGAAATAAAGGAGTGACCTATCTATGGTTGTATCATCATCAGGCTACACACCCTTGAGCATTTTATGACCTTTCTGAAAGTCAGTACTAACTTAAATGCAACTAGAAATCGGACATAACAGTAGCTCTTTTATTATTGAGTCAAACCCACTTGTCAGTCTTTTGTATATGAATAAATACATTTGGTTCTTCTGGGCAACAGCTACTGTGTGTAGCCTCACAAAGTAATAATTCAAAGCTGGATCACACGATTATTTGTGCTCTATCTTCTGTACTTAATATAGCTATTCATAGCGTATGCATATCAGTTAGAACTTTACACTTCCCTTTAAAATAAGTGATTTGTT